TATTTGCTTTCACATATTTTACAAGTTGTGGGGGAGAATTTATTTGGTCACTTTCTATTTTAAAATATAGTATGTTCTTTTTGCTCCAAACAGGAACAATCTTTATCTTTCCCCTTTCAATAATTAATCCAGTCTTAGCTTCGTAGAAATCATACTGTAAATGAACAATAAACATGTCTTGTTTTCAGTATTAACTAGCACTGGAAGAGAAAGAACAGCAAACAACTCCCAGCCAGTGCAGACATTCTGACGTCCAGATTACAGTACATTGCTTTGCTTCCTCCAAATCCTGTTTACATGAGTAAGGTCAGGGGATGGAACATTAGAGAGCCTCTACTGTGATTTCCTGCTGCTGTCAGTAAAAACCACCGAGACATCATCAACTTTCCCTTGTTCCCAACAGCTTATCAGGGACCGGAGGTTACCGATGTATTGCCTTACAGACTTGAAAAACCCAACCTCCCTCAAAACTAAAAGTAAAAAATCAGAGGATGAAACAGGAGGATATAGTCTCAAAAGGAAACAAGACTTGCAGTTTTCCTTTTCAATAGTTCAGAAAACAAAAGCAATATTAAGCCACTTGACACACAGAGAAGGAGTGAGAGAGGCAGTAATGCTTTCAGAGTCTTTAATGAGATGGAAAGGAGAAAGAAACACCACCCCCAGTCCCCAAACCTTGACCCCAGTTCAGTGAACATTTTCAGTGTAAAAGGCTAGAATGCACCTCATTTTTAACAACTGCAACATATGAAGGCTCCTACCATTGGGAAAAATCAGGGCATTACGTAAATACCAGTTAGTTAAGCATACATAGCTTGGTTTTGTACTGGTTTCAGTAACACACAGGAGAATTGAATAAGTGAATCAAATACAAAGCTATTTGCCTTACAATAATAATACACGGACAGAAATTCTGAATGTTTTTGCAGTTAAGGTCCAAAAGAAAGCAGCTCCATACCGAAGATTACCCTGAAGTTTTTCCACTGACACAATAACCACATTCTTTTCTCTAAGTATACAAAGGAAGTTGCATCAGAGTGAATCTTAGATGAAAATAGGATTTTCGCTATGTTTAAGAACTGGCCTTACAGCTTTAAGTTAGAACATAAGCTGAAAAGATAAGGTGTTTAGAGTTCAGAGAGTTTAACAATTTAAGTGTTTTCTAGGAAAAATGCCTATGAGAACATTTGTACCTACATATCTTGGTTTAGTCTTTGAAGTAAGAAAATAAAAGTAAGTAAATTAAAAAAACCCACATAAGTAGGCATTTTAAGTGTGGAAGTTGTTATGGATTGTTGGCTTTGATGAGGCAACAAATTAAAATTCCTTGAAAAGAGGAGGAGGAGTGGGAAGAGAGATAATATCAGTATTTCCTCAGACAGATAAAGCTCAAAATACAAATGAATTGCTAAGAAAATATCTAAACACATATTTTAAATTCACAATAAAGAATCAAGAGTGTTCAATTTTTAAATATTTGTTTTTCAAATCTTCTCCAGGCAGACTGTTGTCAAGAATAGATGACAGTGATACTTAGCTGCACCTTAATTATCTGCAGTTGTGTGTCCTTGTTTGGGGCTTCTCAATACAAGACAGACATTGACATCCTGGAGCAAGTCCAGCAGAGGGTGAGCAAGATGGTGAGGAGGCTGAAACACATGATATACAAGAAAAGGCAGAGAACAAGGTTTGTTCAGCCTTAAAAAGAAGGATACAGGGAGATCTTACTGCCATCTCAAATATCGAATGGGTGGATAGAGAGAAGACAGAGACAGATACTTATTAGAGGACCACTATGATAGAATTAGAGGCAACGGACATGCTGGAACATTGGAAATTCTAGCTACTTGTTACGAAAAAAATATTTTCACCAGTCAAACACTAGAGCAAGCTGCCCAGAGAGGCAGTGAAATTTCCATCCTTACACATATTAACAAATGAACTGGACAAGGCCTTTAGGAACCTGATCCAAGTTTGTCTTGCTTTAACAGAGAGGTTAGATGAATTGACTCCAAACACCCCTCTCAACATAAACTGATCTATCATTTTTATTAACAAATTTTTACAGGAGGGAAGAAAAGGAATACCTTTGTGTTCTGCCACAAGTCATCTTAGGTAACATGCTATTCCTGCCCGTGTGACCAGCATGATAGGACACAGTTCCAACAACTGAAGAAGAGATTCTCTATAGGGGGAATACTTTCTCCTATTTGCTGGAGTAGCTTGAAATCTATGGGAGTTTGCTCAGTTAACATTAGGAATTTTGATAGCCATTCAACAAAACATTATGAGGTTTTGTATAGAATTCCAGTCTCCCTGAAGATATTTCAGGGAGCTTTAGGGAACTCATCACAGATCCTACAAAAGCTTCAATGCTGTTACCTATCCCAGAGGAGTCTGTCTTTAAATACTTGAGGCAGTGATCTGCGAAAGGCTGTATCTCTCTTCTTCAGTAGAAAAATTAAAGTAAATATGTTGATTAGCTACTTCCAGTGGTGCAGGAACTTGCCAAGGTGTTTTGTAAATAACCCTTAAAGCCCTGCAGTTTTACATGCATGATAAAGACATTGAACAAGAACCATTAAAGATACATGAGCGCAGAGTCCATTTTTCTCCCTACACATATCAGAAGGGCAGAAGAACTGCTTAAGCTAAAGCAAAACACTGCAAAAAGAATTAGAAGGTATAGACAGGACATTTGTAAGTTAACCTGGCAGCCTGATCAACGATTTCTAGTGATTTGAACAGCATTTTTCCAGTAGAAGTAGAACCAAAAAGCCATACGCAGCTTTAAGATGGGTCTTGACAAGTTTGCAGGAAAAAATAAAAGAAAAAAGCATACAATGATATTGTCTTTGATAACCAGCAGAAAAGGAGCAACCAGAGTGAGGTTGGAATCAGAGGGAGGGATGGCAGATGAGGATGCATTAGACTAGAGGTTGGGGAACCTCAAGTTAGAGGAGGATTAAAAAAAAAAATACACACACAAATAATGCACAAACACAGTAACATTCAAGTGAGGACAAACAGCATCAAAAGGAAATCGGGAAGTGAAGGTGGGATGGGAAGAAATCCAGCATCTACCCTTCTCCCTTTGATTTTTTTCATGAAGAACACATGAAGCCTCTATAGAAAGGGCCTCTACACATTAGAGAAATTGAGACAGCTTCAGATGAAAAAGGTCCACGTCACTGAGAACCAGAACCCTTTGGAAACAAGAGAAAGAGACTGGATGGCTGGCCTGATTAAGAAACTGGAAATAATTCCACAAACAACAGAAGCTGATAATGCAGCAGACAGATACTGGACAGGATGATGACAGTAAAAGATGAGTTGACACTAGAAAGTAAGGAGGACCAGATAGGTTACCAAAGTTTAGGAGAGTGTTACTTACTATGGGGGAGGAGAGATGCTAGAGAAAACATGCAAATGGTTTCTGGATTTGTGTCAATAGCCATGTGTCAGACAGTAGTTGTCCTTAAGGCTCTTGTCTGAGTTGTGTGGATACAGAAATGTTGCTAGATGGAAAACAGATGCATATGGTGAATAATGAGATACAGAAATGTAAAAATCAGTGATGAACAGGAGATCAAGATAATGGAAAAAACAAACAAAAAAAACAACATCATGATTACTGACACAGTCAAAAGGCATGAATTTTGAAGCAACATTTTTCTAATGAAGACTGTAAAGTCAGCCAGTCATCAAGAGGATGCTGTCTCTAGTGTGTCAATTTATTCCTACAAGTTGTGGCCATAAGGTTTTATAAACTGCTTTCCTATCAAAAGAATTAACAAAGGAGATTAAATGATTGGTAAATTTATAGGTATGTAGCAAAGAATTAGAGTGTAACCATACATTTGAAGCCTGTGATCAGTATTAAGATCAGGAAGTAATGAACACAGAGTATTTTAAAGTGATAGGTAGTCAATAAATTATATCCACCACAACCCACTGTCAAGCCTACTAAAGAGATTTCTGTAAGACTGCAAATTACTTTTCAGAGAAATTATCTTAAAGAACCATATTTCCATGGTAAAAACACAAAACAACTGCTAGACCTTAAAATATACAGAAATTATCATCTCTCAAATAAAAACTATATCATTATTTGTTTTGAAGAAAAAGTTTCTTTTAGACATCAACCTTTGTTTCATGATCTTCAATAAATGATCTTAAAGAATTTTACAGAGTACCTTCACAACATACCTTTTGATGAAGCATTCATGACAAAACAGAACAGCAGAAACCACACCTGCTCCCTATTCATGTGTAGTAACCCTTCAGCCACACAAACTCTTGTTATGGTAACTAAAATTGCTCAAGGTACAATTTATGCCTTCACAGGAACAGAATCAGAACTAAAAGAAATTCTCATTTTAAGCTAATTCTAGAACAGTACGTCTTTTAGATTTCATACCAGGAGAGCATATTTCTCCTCCTACGAAACTACCATTAAAACATTGCCTTCCTTTCCTCCCACATGCCATACCAATGTCATATGAAAAGCTAACACTAGAAGGATCTAATCCTATGATTCTCTCTTAAAATTTGTTCCTTTTTTTCTCCCAAAGAACTACTAGGTGCCTTTAAAGGAGAAAAATTAAAACATCACTTTTGGAATTCTATCAGTGAGGCAACTATTCCTTAGGTTTCCAATTATTTTTAGATAAAGACAGAGTTACAAGAACTGTTTGAGAATAAGCCACAAATTTTAACAGTAATATTTAGATATAATTAGGACGTGCTTATAATTAGCTTTTCTGCTTAGTGCATGGGTAAAATCACTAGTACAACATGAAAGCTTTGCTATTACACCATCTTCTGGTTAGTCTTGGGAACTGTGAAAGAAAGCTTGAGAAGTTAGGATACTGAGCTCTGAGCAGTTGACAGTTGTTAAAAAACTATTTTATTCATACAGACAAAAAGCACATGTCTGATAACATTAGTTTAAGCTATGCCCCATCTTTTTTCTTCCCCCTCACCAAAAGGCAACTTACTTGAGTACCGAAAGATGAAGAGGAACTAATCTCTATGACAGGTGGGTCAAGTGTTTGTGTATTAATCACATCAAAGGCAGGGTTGACCTGGTGAAAATGAATTAATAATATTATTATTTCAGCAGCAGTAGAGAAAGGGAAATAAGACTGAAATAAAAAGGACCATTTGCTGTATTAAGGCACCACTATTCACTAAGGACTGGAAAGAGGCTTTAAAATCTGTAAAGGTAGGATGGTACCCTCTGACTGTGTACAATGCAATCATATAATACAGAAAAAGAATCCAGGTATGTGTTTATTACAGAAATAGAATTTATACTTCACAAACACCCATCATCCAAAACTCAGAGGATTCCTACCACAAGAGGTGCAAGTATTAAGAAGTTAATTTTTATTGATTTGTCATACAACTGAAGTTACAAATGCTAGTTTGAATTGATTTACTAAGACAGCTAGCGCAAAACCTGCCCAAGGCTGAAGCCATGCAATTAACAGAGTGGTAAATGATGTTGCTGACATACCAAACAGTAGGAAGCATTCAGATAACTTTCCAACTCTGTAACTGTCACCTGCAGGTGCTTTTGAAAGTTTTACCATGTGCATAACAACTATAAGGGCTCCTGAAAGTTGTCTTTGAGTTTTACTTTCCAGTGTCAATCACCTGTGGGCACAGTTGTAGGATGTATTTCCTATTCCTCCTTCCACCAGAAAAACTGTCCCACGCAGAAGTGGTGTACTGCCCTGGATAACTCTGGACTTGAGAGCTGCCTTCTAGCAATGATGCTCAATTAGCCTGTTACAGCCTAAGGGTAGCAGAAGCACTCTGTTTGGGGAGATTTCCATATACAACTATACAGCACTCCGTTTTTTGTTACACTGGTCCCCTGCCTGTTGTAATTTACTTAGGGCACATCCTCACTCACAATCTCATACTGCAGCTTGTAAGTCCTGCTACCATTCAGCTTGAGCTAGGATCAACGTAGCTGCAGCCACTCTGGCTTAGCCATGCATAGGAAGGTGTGCACCAAGCCAGTCCCAAGTTGCCTTACTGATGTGGGTACGTCATTAGCACCAAAGCTGAAAGTAAGCACGCACATAGCAACCCAGATTGGTCAGTTCCCAACGCACACTCAAGTTCCTCAGTCATCTATCACAACCAAACAGACTGCCTACATGCTTGTTTCTTACATGCCAATTCCAATTGTCAAAATAACTTGAAAAATCACTGCTGTGAAAAACAGGTAGGAGGTAACACTGAAATCTGTGATAAGTTAACCAGACAAACAAACCATGCTGGTCCTAAAACCACAGGAAAACCTGCTTTATACTAGGATGGTGCCAGGGGCTGATCATATGTGTCATCACAACATTTGCAATTTTGACTTCTTAATATCACATCTGGACTACTAATTTATTGTTGGTTACAGGAGTTAATCTATAACTTCAGCAGTGTTTTGCTAGTGTCCTTTCCTGAAAGTGAAGCATTAACAAAATATAAGAGAATATAAAGTCTGAGAAAGTTGCTGCTTTTATTTATCTTATTGTTTCACCTGAGGATCAGAATGCCCTCCCTGTAAAATCTGTGTGCACATTTTCCCTACCACTGTACTATCTAGGTGTATCACAGCCTAATACGTTTGCCCTCTCAGTGTGATGTATGGAAGTACTATTCTTACTATTTTATGAACCGACAAAATTCACAGAAAGACTAAATGACTTTCAAATCACCAAGAAGTCTGGTGTAGTACAGAGAAATGAACTCTCTTCTTTTCAGCTTTTTATCAGTAGTCCAACTGCAGCCTTATCAGAGACAGCATTAATTCCAACCATCTTAAAGTGGAAGAAACATAGAAAAAAACATAAAGTCACACTTGCCTAGTGACAGGGTTATATTTTAGTTGCTGGAAGTTTGTTAGATACAAGGGCCATTTTATTTTGCCTTTTCAAGGAGAAAGAGCCTACCATTTCACCTGAAGACTGGCAAAACTCTGGCTCAACCACAGCTGCTCACTTAGTAACAGCTTCAGCACAATTTCCACAAGCAAAAAAACCCCTGATGCCAGGGTCCTTGTATCAGCATATAGGCTTTAGGTCAGAGATCCGTGATTTTTTTAAGTAGCTAGAATGAGATCTTAAAGCTAGAACTACTAGCCAGGGAAGGCAGGCAATAGCATCTTGTACTGCTTGAAGCCTTTTCATTCAGTTCATTTGCATTTCCATAACTTACATGCAGAAATTTAGGTTAAAACTAATAGAAGTACAATCTTCCTCAGTAAAGGTGGGGGGAGGATGAAGATGAACAAAGTTTAGTAGTAATTTAGAAGGTAAAAAGACATTTAAATACAGATGTTGCCTCATTTTTCAAGCTGAAAGTGATCCTCACACATTGCAGCACTCAAATCAGAGAAGACAAGCCTTAAAGGGAGATCTTAACTCTGTTTTTAAGCTAGTTCACTTTTCTGACTAGCAGTGCTTAGCTCTTTCTTGCATTCAGTTTCAGCAAGTCACTCTTCATCCATGAGCTATTTTTTGTACGTACTCTATCTTTTAATTCAGATTATAGTGGTATCAATTGAGAATGAGCTATCTAGAGGCAATCAGGAAAATCTGTCCTGTTACAGAGCCATCAGAGCTGATAAATTAAAATTCTTCCTCAGTTTGTAGATATTAGGATCAAGTCTTGTTTTCTTCCGTTTTGTCAAACGGACTTGGAAGAAAGAAAGGGAAAAAGGAGAACCAAAGTCACGGTTCAAGTAATAACTTTCCATTTATCTGAGAGTTCTAGCATTTTAACCAGATTTCTCCTTTAGTTTCTCCTCTACAGAAGCTTGATTAATGAAAGTTTCCTCTGTATATAGTTCTGCTTATGACTTTCAGTAATACGATGAGGAAGAGAGTAACTGCAAATTTCACTTTTTTCCTCCTTATATATACCCTGTCTATTTAGATTAAACAAACAACAGGTATTGTCCTAAAGGACATTTGTTTAGTGCCCAGCATAACCAGGGTCATTTGCATCTGGCCTTCAGTCAGTCCTGAAATAAATATGTTACCTGAGTGTCAATCATATTACTGGCAGCTGAGCTTAAAGTCTTTTTGACATGTATCATTTTGGCACTGAAGAGAGGACAATGCACCTGTACAACTCTGCAGAAGGACAGCAGATGTCTATCACCTACCAATACTCTAATGTAGAGGAGCTACTGTAATATTATTACTAATAGCTCTTGAAACAGCTTCTTTGAGATAATATCTCCTTGTTATGTACATCAGAGATTGTAGAATGAGTTACATGCTTTTCTTGATATGGGTTTGCTAAATAAATGGTATGATGACGCTAAGAAAATATGCTCTTTATGTGGAACTGTCACATCCTGGCACTGGAATGAAAGTCTCCACTGCACATAGTTCTGCTTACCTCTACTGGAGACAAGGGGAGGATGAGGGGCATTGCAAACACTGACTAGGGTTGCAGGAATTGGCATAGGCCATATTAAGAGATCTCTCTCTCTCTCTTTCTCTCTCTCCAGCAAAGCGTGTAAAGAACAAAGCACAAAAACAGGAAGGCTGTAGCCAAACCCTTTTTTGCAAATATTTGTGTTTAATATTGCACTAAAAAATAATGAGGTAATAGAATGAAGCTAAAAGTCAAAGTTTCAAATTACTTGACGTTTCCTGACAAGGTGATGTAGTTAGCTGTTAAATAATCTCACCAAACATACCCAGAAAAACTTAACTTTAGAAAATAAGAAAGAAAAAACCAGAACACTAAAAAGCAAGGTAGAGAGAACTGTCATGTATTAAAAGTTTTAAAAAATACCCTTCAAAAGCTTTCCATTATCTGGTAAACTGATACATAAGTATTTTCATTATTATCTTCTAACATGATGATACCGTTATTACATTTTGATCCATAGCAAATGAAAATATATTTTAAGGAAGGTTTCTACACAATCTTCCATGTAAGGAATTAGAGATTTCTAAATACTGAAGAGGAATAAAACCAAAGTATATTATTTTTAAAAAGTGAGAGACAGGAATTAGGATCACTGCTTAGGACTTAGGACAGAGAACTAGGGGAGGAACAAAAGAAGCAGGCCCAAATAAGTATGTGATTCTCAGTCATACACTTTAAGAAAATGATTAGCCCGTATAGGTATCCCTCTGTTGATTTTAACAAAGTGTATCCAATCTCAAAAAAACACCTCACCTTTCACTTGATTTTTCTAATTAATACATTTCATAAGACATTAGTGTTACATCAAAAACAAAATTAATAAAATTAAAAGATAAAGTTTTAAATTAGTCACACAAAGTGTTTCCTAGGAAGTGATGTAGCTAGCTGTGAAATAGTCTCTCCCAACACACCAAGAAAAAATTTAGCTTTCAATTTGATTGAACGCTGCTCTTTATGTTAGACTGGAGCCCTCAAGCCAAGCAAGCCATATATTCTTATTTCTACTGCCACCTAGTGTATATTTGGATTTCCTTCATCTAAGAAAATATTTCCAACTGAAATTACCTTGAAAAATTTTAAGATGAAACTAAATCAACAGCAGATTTTCATGCCTAAGATATAAACTCTACACATCTTAATGTGTTTAAACTTCAATGCTACGTTTTTAAAGGAAACTGTTATTTCTACGTTCCATCCACTTTAAAGAGGTCTCTAGTATATGAAAGATTAATTATGTAAAAACATGGGAAATTCGGAAATACAACCGTCACCAAGTGGAATGCATTTCTTTTTGTATATTGCACTAAAACTGCATTACCAATTAAACATACTATTTTCAAACATCTCCAAAAGCTCCTTATCTCAAAAGGAGACAATGACTGGGATTTATCTCAGCTAAATTTAGGCAGACGGCTAGACACCTGTATTTGAGCTGGTCACCCAAGATTACCTCTATGGTCAATGGAAAAAAAGTAGGTGCCTTCAGAGAACAAGTCATTTGCTTACATTTCTAAATTGTCTGAATAACTGTAATGATTTTAAGCTTTAAATCTCTACTTACTTGAATATTCAAGAATCCCATTGATCAGTGCAGTTGGAGAACAGCTGTAAAGATTTATAAGTCAAGAACATAAAACTCAGCACTGTGTTAAAATTCAGGCTACTGCTGATCTGAAGAAGAGGAGATATAGGTAAGGAATTTCTTGTAAGAGTTAATTATGCTTCGGAAAGTAGGTATGGAGAGAGAAGAAAACTAGAGAAGGCATCTTAAATATTTCTGGTTCTGTGTATAGCTTTGAAGAGTAAGAACAAGTTCTGGGACAAGATGAAAGTACACACAAGCTCCATGTTTCAGTTGCTATCCTGAAGGCAAAATACCAGGGAATACCTGCAATTCTTAATGCCCTGGTGTAAGCTGTTTTCTTCAAAAAAGCATTTCCAACTGGTGACGCATGAAAACACTATAACTGTCTCTTTGCTCAGAATTTATTCAACTGGGTTCAGAGCCAGCTCCATTTTGTGTGCATGGTTCATTTACTCAGGACCATGTTCTGGAATAGCAGGGACCTTGCCACATTGAGGCAAGCAGGGATAGAGAAGCAACAACTATCCAAAAGCAGTAAGAAACTTGGAGAGGCATGAAACATTAGGAATTAAGAAAGCATCAACAGAATTACTTCCCTCTTGAGTTTTACCTGTACATCTGTTGAACTTTTTGTATTCTACTACTTTGAGTTTTATCCTAAGGCAATCCATCT